AAAAATAAGAACCAAGATGCATCATATAAAGGTACAATTCCCAATGAGAAATGTAATTGTGTTGTATACCTACAATGTACCAATAAAAGAATTTAATTAAAAAAAAATAACAAGAGAGGGCCAGTGATTTAGCTCAGTGGTTTTGCTGCCTGCTGCACAAGCACAAGGACCCGAGTTCGATCCCTGGTACCAAAAAAACCAAAAATCAAGAGAATAAGAAAATGAATATAGCAGCTGTAAGATGATGTAAAAAAGACTACTCTAGGATTCTTTAGAATAAGTGAAAAATCAGACAACAGCACAAAGGGCATGAATAAACCTATTTATAGAAATAATAGCATAAAACTTTCCAAATATAAGGAAAGAATTTAATATACAGATAAATTAGTCATACAGAACCTGAAATAGCCATGATCAGAAAAGAATATCTCCATGAAATATCATAGTCAAAATCCTGAAACTCCAACAAAGGGATAGAATCTTAAAAGCTGTTGGAGAAAAGCAACAAATCACTTATAAAGGCAATCTCATTAAAACTATAACAGACTTCTCAACACAAACCTTAACGCCAGAAGAGCTTGGAGTGAAGTGTTTCAAGCCATAAAAGATAACTTACAACCCAAATGAGTATATCCTTCAAAATTATCTTTCAAAATTAATTTTCAAAATTGCTTTTCCATGAAAACAAAATTTAAAAATTCATAACCACCAAACTGTCACTCCAAAAAAATACCCAAGGATATCCTGGAAAGAGACAAGCTAATAATGGCACAAGGTCTAATAGAATAAATACAACATGCAGAGTGAGCAGGTTAGTAGAAGAGGAAAAAGCAATCAACAACAAGAAAAAAATGTAATGGCAGTAATGATTCAATACCTTTCAGTAATAACTCTCAAGGTTAATGGTCTCAACTCCGCAATCAAAAGACAGAATGGATCAAGAAACAAAATCCAAAGCTGGTCTGCTTTCACTGAAAGCATTATATTCATGAGGCTGAGGCAGGTTTTGTGAAAGTATTGTTGGTTTGTTTTTCTTTGGGGGATGGAGGGTGAGCAAGGAATTTTTTTTAAAAGAAAAGGGCAGTCTGAAAAGGCAAAATCATCATGAATTTTATTGTCACATCATGCTGGTGTTATAACCAGCTCTGTAGACTGCCGCACTGAAAACATTTCTATGAGAGAATCCTGTTGCATCACAGAAGCTGGAAATTCTGATGTTCCATTGAAACACAATGGAAAGTCTTGACCTGACTGGTAAGAACTGTGCTGAAGGGCACAGTAATGAAAGGCAGTAATAGAAATAAAGATCATTCAGCAGAAGGAGAAGGGGCTGGAAACAAACCAAAAAGAAAGTGTCTTCAGTGGCATCCATTACTAGCAAAGAAACTTCTTGACTTTTCAGAAGAGGAGGAAGAGGAAGATGAAGAGGAGGATATTGATAAAGTTCAACTTCTTGGATCCGATGGCCTAGAACAAGATGTTGGTGAGGCAGAAGATGATGAATCACCAGAACAGCGAGCCCGTAGACCAATGAATGCATTTCTTTTATTTTGCAAATGCCATTGCTCCCTTGTCCGTTAAGAACACCTCAGGCTTGACAACAGAGGTGCTACCAAGATACTAGCTGATTGGTGGGCTGTTATAGATCCAAGGGAAAAACAGAAGTATATAGACATGGCCAAGGAGTATAAAGATGCATTTATGAAAGCAAATCCTAGCTACAAATGGTGTCCTACCACAAACAAGCCTGTGAAATCACCAACACCCACTCTCAAACCATGAAAGAAGCTTTGGGCCTTCCTATCCGACTCTTCAAGAGACTTGCCAAGCCCCAAGACAGCAAAGACTGAACAAATGCCTCAGCTCAACTTTGGCATGGCTGATCCCACGCAAATGGGAGGCCTGAGCATGCTGCTGTTAGCTGGAGAACATGCTCTTGGCACACCAGAGATACCCTCTGGCACTTGTAGGCCTGATGTTTCTGAATCCCCTGAATTGCATCAGAAGTCACCATTATTTCAGCTTGCCAAGATATCTTCAAGTACATCCCACTCTGATGCTCCTACAAATCAGTGTCAAGCGTCGGCCTTGTTTCAGTTTGCAGAGATCTCTTCAAACACTTCGAAGTTGGGTGATGCTGAGCCCGTAAAACACTGCAGAAAGTCTACACTCTTTCAACTGGCAGAGATGTGCTTGGCATCAGAGGGGGTGAAAATGGAAGAAACAAAGCTACTAAAAGCAAAAGAATCAGATGGTGGAAGAATTAAAGAATTGGAGAAGGGAAAAGAAGAAAGAGAAATAAAAGTGGAGAAAACAGACGCAACTGGGTTGCGGGAAGAGAAAGAATTTGAAAAAC